GTAGCATTTTGCTGGGTCGCGGCGGCCCCGCCCATTATATTTAAATGTCGCTGGAATACTTGCACGTGGTTTGGCAACAGAACGTTGGACAGGTTGCATCCGTACGTTCTGGCTTCTTCCGCCAAGGATACGCTGTCCCCTGTGACAGGGTTCACGGCGCTGTACGCGACATACACATGCCGAAGGACAGTGCAGTGCGGTGCCACTTGATCAAACACATACCTACATATATATACATTAGAAGGCTCCCCATGCGGAATCGTATCCTCGTGTGCATATCCCATAACCTACTTACTTGCAATGTGGGATACTATGACAGGGTGGACAAACTGAAAATATGAAAAAAATCACGAGATATTGTCGATTTGATACAAATTTGGGGAGGGGGTGCAATCGAATCGTTGCGCCGACCAAACCGATCCACAATCGATCTGATTGGTTGAATTTCATTGAGAAGGTTTTTGATTGGCTCATAATTTTGAGCTCATCTGAAGTAGCCAATCAAATCGATTTAAATTCCAACGAGAAACCACGCCACAACACAATGAAATTTCACTCGAAAGCACAATATGATGAATTTTTGCCTCCTATTTGGTTCCCGATTGGCAACCATTCGATGATAAAAAGCAAACACCCCATCGATCGATGCAGTCTCAACGCGACAGTTGATTGGTCACAGACAAACGATATAAAAACTAAAGTAGCCAATCAGCGATCATCCAGTTTTATTATCTATGAACCAATGGGAGAGCGATTCGAGATCGATTTCGACCAATCATACGTCAAATAGTACATTACATCTGGCCTTGCCATAATCCATCCAGGAATAGCATGATCTATTATTATATAAGCTCGGAATGTGTATTTGTAGTGGACGTACCAAGACATCATCTTTCGCCCAATCGGATGTCTGGAAAACTTGTCATCGTGGGGCACACTCTGCCCGACCACCACACGTCGATGTGGTGAAGTCTTGTTCGGCTGGGGCTGGGTACCTAAACGAGTGGTCACGTGCTTGCCATTTCGTAGTTGTTGTGGGGGATATCTGTACTTACTGGAAGGGTCGCCTTCAAACATTCGATAGAGTACGCATGTCGCCCTGGTCGTGCCACGTGTCGTCACACGAACGTACGACATGCTGCCTCGTTCTTGATGTTGTTGTCCTGTCAATTCCATCACCGCCTACCCACCACTGGTTCAGAAGTGACCAACCATACGAAGAAAAAAGAAATTATTCAGAAATATTAAATATTTAAATATTATATAATATAAAGAAGAATGCATACATCGTTCAACTACCAGCACCAGAGTCCATACGGCGACCAACCTACCCAACGAACGAGGCATATCAGCCAATCAATATTCACAATGCAACGAAAAAAGACGAACCAATGATGCATACTAGGTTCTAATGATATAGAAATAATAAATCTTTTTTACATAAGAATCGAAGAATATAAGTATCATATTATACTATATATACATATACAAAGAGATATATATATAAAGAGGCGGTGGCATTGTATAAGTCTACCAACCAATCAACAGCCACCACCACCCATGGCGTCCCAAAATTGCGACGAAACAAAACAACGAACCAGCGATGCAGAAAATAGGTTCTAGCGTTATATGAAAATTACACTTCCTTTTATGAAAATTCAATCGTATAATATAAATTATATTAATATAATTACATACATATATATCTAAAAAGTGATGGCATTCAAAATGTACAGTAGTGGCCCCCACAAGTATACGCAGTTCCGTGACACTTTTTGGGACCCGTCGATGGAGGGGTTTCTTTACTCAAATTGCTATTATAATAGTGTTTCTTAACGAGGAGAATTAATGCAGTTCGTAGAACTTAAAATCATGTCGAAATTCGTATTAGTGTTGATGGAAAATGAATTAAAAGAGTGGAAATATCCATAGGCTGAAAACAGTTCCGAGCCACTTGATTTTATCCAGTTATATGTCAAAAATTGCAACTGATTGGCTGAAAATTTCAGAGTGATTGTTTTCTACCAATCATGCATCGTGGCACGGTGTTGCAAGGAACCTCATGGTGAACTTTTCTTAAAGTGTTGACGAGTGTTTGGAGTAGTATACAATGTAGTTAGTATTGTTGTGTTATACTAAACTGGAGCGACATGGATAGCATGAATGTTATCGACACAGCCACGTGGACACAAGCAGAATGGTGTTTTGTGGTGATTGGTATCACACTAATTGACATCACACTTGACGTTGTTGCTGGTTTCCTGCAATGCGATTGGCTAAATCCTAGAAGTATTTAGCCAATCGCATTGCAGGAAACCGTCAACAACGTCAAAGTAGTGTGTGACTTGAATTAGTGTGATACCAATCACCACAAAACACCATGTTACATACAAACATTTCGTACTACAAACAATCGATCGAGATAGATTTGGCCAAGTAGCACAAAATGTCCAAATTTTGGGTAAAAGAGGACAATCAATACCTCTGGATCGGGACAAACCACATCGATGCGACGACTGGCACATTCGTCAGGTGTCATGCCAGTGTAGCTCTTGCGCTGGATTTCTTCTTGATAGACTAGCCGCACGACATCATCGATGGCTCCGTGGAATGTTCTCATGTATTGGCACACCACGGACACACTCGAGTCGGCGTTCGCGTGGGCGAGAATATCAAAGTACGGTCGATGGTGTCGTGTCGTCGGGTCGATTGGTGGAAACTGATACTTGTCCAAGATGGCATCTGTGTTGTGGAACACGAGCTGCGTGAGCCAGTCCAAGCCGTGCCGCCGCGCCTCGGGATGGGCGACGAGTGTCATGCGCGCCAACGACGTGTTGGATACCCCCCACGGCATGGAAGGTTTCATCTACCATAAGTTGATGCGTTAGATGTCAATGAAAGGAAAAAGTGAAAGCCGACCAGCACGGGTGAGGACTTTGCGACCCAGGTTGCGAGGCGCTGGAACACTTCTCGATTCAAGTCGAGATCTTTACGCAGGGAGAGCTGCAGTACCAACGCCTCTCGCGCAGACTCGGACAGCGCCTTTGCCACGTCTTTCCAAGGCAGCAAAAGGTCCTTCGACGTTGGCCGTTCGCTGTGCTTGGCGGTAGCACTGTGACGTCGCCGGATCCGCACAAGCGTCTTCTCCAGCTCGCCAACCTTCGCAAGAAGTGCTGTCTTCTCATTCTTCTTAGTCTGGCGGTACTCTTGCTGGTACTGTGCCTTGATTGTCAACGCAGGCTCGCCCATGATGCCGATAAAATACTCGCCAAAGCCGGATCAAGTGTCCGGATAAGACAGAAGTGGCTTCCGGATAATGATGACTTCAATTTCTGATGGATATTAAATCCTGATGCAATGTTTCAATTGGCTAATATCCCATTCGACCTTCCAATCAGAGACTCCGAAATTTCGAATAGCCAATGGCAAAGCATCAGAGCTATTTGAAAAAACTACCAGTACTAGCTTGTACTACGTAGTACAGAGAACCCAATAGGAACTCGCGCACAGTGGTATCGACACTATTTTTTTCCATGGAGCATTCATAAATTCCGACGTCAACCAATAGTATTTTTTTCATATTTTCTACTTTAACCAATAGTATGCTCATTTCTCTGTACTGGGTACAGTACATACGTAAAGTGAAAACCAGATCGAATTGGACGTTGTAGTACTACAGTATACCATGTCATATATTGTAGATTCGGTTCAAATTTCCAGACACCCCATCCAATCCAATGTCGTCACCAACTCGAATCACGAACCGACGCTATTGGTTAATCCAACTTTGTGAGCGTTTGATTGGGTATTCCAAAAAAGACCAACGATATTCAGCCAATCCGAGTTTAGTTTCCAGTCGTGATTCACCACCACATCTCGTCGAGCGAGCACGAAGCTCTCCCATTGGTCGATGCGAAATTACTTGTCTCTGATTGGCTACAATCCATTTTCGATTTTGAGCGGCACGTGTATACTTTGTGCTCGGTTGAACAAACCATCGAGAACTTGGGAAAATTGAAGCAAATCGACAATATACTGACTGTACTATTACTGCCTCCTTTGATCGAGTGTATCCTGGACGCTAGCCATGGCGATGTCGGTTCTTGCAATGCCTGCGGCGCCAATGTTGGCAATATGGCAACTCAAAACGTCCAGCTTGGACGCTTCAGGCCAGGATGAGACATCGCAGCCCCAGCGTTGGGCTTCGGCTTCAAAGTGAAGGTACTCGCCCGTGGCAGATACGGAGTGGTTGAACACAAACAGGTTGCGCATCAACGTCTTGGTGGGTGATAGCCGGTCAAATACATACCTACAGTATATACATGTGTAGTAGTACTACTAGTAGTACTAGTGGTGGTAGTAGTATATTGTTGTGCGAATATTCAAGTGGAGAGAATGAATGAATCGACGACACAACGAAAAATGGACACAAGAATCATCGGCAGAAAGATCCAGCCAATCAGATTGCCATCCTCAACGTCGAATTAGTGTGTGACTTCAAGTAGTGTGATACCAATTGATCATCACAGGGCACCTTTCTCATACAACATTCACAGTACAAAGAACCGATCGATAGATTTGGCGAATAATCACACAAGTCCAAATGTTGGGTGAAAGGGCAATAAATATACTGTCTTGTCCACAGTAAGTATTATAGTCAAAATTGCCTATTTTGGGGGATTATTGAAATCGCCAACGAATCAAGCAAAGGAGTATGATTGGCTACAAAGAATGAAGGTCGCAATATGATTGGCTAAAAACATTCATTGATGCATTGCAGTCGCAAAGATACCTCTTCAACTCAGTTTTATACGAAATTTCGAAAGTCCGGCGGTTGATTCAACCAAGCAACCGCCAACGGACGAAATAATGAGTAGAATAAATAATGAGTAGAATACACAATACTACAGTATTATTCTAAAATATATTTACGCTCGACAAGAAGAGAGTACCAACCAGCTCATGCTTTTGCGGGACAACGACATGGTTTGCGCAAATACTTCGTCCAGAGGGACAGACTGCCCCACAATCACCGCCCGGTCCAGTGTGTTGTATTCGCGATACAACACCGTTGTGCCTTTAGCATTTCCAATGTTTTTTATCAGCACGTACGACATTCGACTTGAAATCGACGCCAAAGCCTATTATTATATAGTACACATACACATGATATTACTATGAATGGGCATGTTGGCTTGCATATATATCAAGTAGTAGGTAGTTGGAGGGTCCTATAATTGTCAAGTTGACAGGTGAAATTGGAGAGGTTGGTTGGGGGCTTTGTCGACAGGCCATCGATATATACATTTCGACCAATCAAAACCCACAACATGAAACAAGTGGCCAATCAACGTGTCTCGCTTCAAGATTCAACATCGAAGTAGGGTGTTACTTGTATTAGTGTAACATAACTGGTCAGTTTTGTTGTCGCACGAAATGAAGTACTAACGCATGTGAGTACTATGACGATTCGAAGGACTAACTAGTAGAAAATAAATACTCACATACTAAAGCAACGCACACAACAAACAGCGGATAACGGGTAATCAAATACTAGATCGCACACACTCAGTTTAAAGCACAAAGTACTACAGCAGTGACATGTAACAATGCCACATAGACTACCGTATTTGTCGTTGATCTGTACCATGAAATAAAAGCCGTGGATATACACTATACCAGTACAACCAACGTACTCTCAACATCAATGATATAATACTTCAATATTGGAGATTCGGTATGAATTTACGGACCCCGTTGAATAATCGAATATCTCGCTGCCGAATCACGAATCGACGCTATTGGCTAATCCAATTTTGAGTGGGTTTGATTGGCTATTACAGAAAGGACAAATATATTCAACCAATCAGAGCGCGATCAATATGGATTCGACGACAAACCACTCGAATTTTGCAAGTTGATAGCGAAAATTCACAATACAAGGCTCAAATTTAATTACAATTCGGGTTCGACAACTATGGTAGTATGTACAACTCAACCCCCGACACTAAAGTACTCCATACTCTGGACGTGCTGCACACATTGGGTACGAAGTAACTCGTGCAAATCGATACAGTATGTATCTGATTTCTTCTCATAAACAACACAAGTCGTAACGTACTGTACCTCTGGGTCGACATAGTCTACAGTCATACGCTTAAGATGCAGCTCTTGTTTCGAGTACCCCGTGTAGCTTTTGTACTGAATCTCCCGTTGCTTGACCAAGTCGACGACGTGTTCGAACGGCCCGTTAAACACCATCGCATATCGGGCAATCACGTTCAAACAGTCGAGGTTGGAGCTGTCTAGGAAGAGATCTGCCACCCGGTGGGGCGCCACGGCCGTCGCGACTGTCGGAAGCTGGTACGTTTGCATGAGCGCATCCGTGTTGTGATATAATATCTGTGTAAACCAGTCATAGCCGTGCTTTCTTGAGGCTTTGTGTGCTACCAACGACACCCGCGCCAACGAAAAGTGGGAAGCCGACCACGACGACGACGGGTACGCCTATGTATATATACGTTCGAATTTCATATTGTTACGGTGGTGTTTATTCTAAACTGGAGCGACATGGGGAATGAATGATCGACACAATCAAATGTATTACAGAAGAATCATCGGCAGAAGAATTTAGCCAATCACATTGCAGGAAACAACCATCCTCAACGTCAAATTAGTGTGCGATTTTCAATTAGTGTGATGCCAATATATCACCTCAGGACATCATGCTACATACAAAATTGAGTACAAAGAATCGATTGAGATAGATTTGGCGATTCATGACAAAAATCCAAAATATTTTGGATAAAAGGACGAAATCATCGTGACGATACAGTAAAATGTACCGAAGTAGACAGTTGAGGATGATCCATCGAGGCTTGGGCGATCCACTTGTTGAGCTGCAGCAATAGTTGAATGTGTTTCTCGCGTGTAGCCTGGAGAGAATGGCGCTCGATGAGGGATTCGTCCGCGTATTCTTTCAACGCAACCGCGACATCCTTCCACGCCAAGAGCGACTTGGACTTGGATCGCGTGCTCAGCCGCTGCCGCTCGGCTTGCAGGTCGTGGATGAGCTTGCGCATGGCGACGACTTGGTCTCGTTGCTGTTCGCGGTAGTACTGTTGCTTTTGGGACTTGTACTGCCGACGTGTCGCGGCCTTGTCCTTGGAAGGGGGCGGGGTTTGCGCCATCGGCGGACAAGCGGTGACTTGTGGCATGATGCAAGAGTGTGCTACGACTGAGATGTTTCGTCGCTACAGTGGTGACCGTCGTCTCTTGGTGGAAGCCGATGACTGACTCGGCGAAGTTCTTGCTTCACCTCTCAAGCGATCAAATGATGCCACTGTGCCAACATGCGATTAATACATGTCGCGCGCTCACTCTCCTTCACTTGGGTACATAGTGGTCGACATCGATTGGTTGTAATGATTATAATAAAAGCGAATGAAAGGAGTCTAAAGCGTTAATTGTACGGGGATTGGTTGATAATTGTATCTTTTCCACAAATAATGTTGCGACCATTCCTTCTCGTAGCAATGGGAGGATTAGATTTCTACAGTAACGTTACCGAGGTCACGATGAAAAATAATACTTCAAAGGTAGTTTCAGGTTTGATATCAATTTATTAATGTGGTTGTTAGGCGATGGCTTCACGCTGTGATGGCTTCACTTGCAATAACCTTCTGTCCATGAGCGGAAATGTCTGGAAGGCCGATTCATGAAACAATGATGGACTACAGGTACCTACTGTACTGTACACGAACCTACTAGCATCCGATCATATGTTTGGTGGAAATACAATTGACATATGACTCCAGTGAGACGTCAAATATAAAGGAATTAGCCAACCTGGCAACTACAATATGTATCGTCAAAAATATCACTTGAATTATGTCAATTTTAGATACAATGGAGGACTTCCAAAACCTACACAAATCGCCGACACAAACTATATTTGTCCGGATATGATGTGAATTATTATTGTGCTTCGTCACGTAGTATGGTATATTTGTCCGGATATGATGTGTTACTACGTAGTATTATTGTGCTTCGTCACGTCACGCGATACTAGGGCCACCAAAACCCGCTCAAGTAAAAAACTTTCCCTAACGTTAATTCTATTGGGTAACAGGTTCATTGGATAAAAAATTGAATGCCATCGAGCACCAAAATGTTATCATAACTACATATATCATGAAGCTCGCATTGGTGCTTGTGGTCTCGCGACGGCAGCACCTGTATCGAATCATGTATGCTCTACGAATTCTCAGACAGTTGAAAGAGCGAAACTTCATAAAGTCAGTTGCACTCACGAATCCCAGGAGATGAGTCAATGGTACACCATCTACAAGCCATCTACAAGGCCCGAGTTTCTCAGTCATTTGTAGACACTGTCGGTAACACCTAATGCATTTGATCACATCTTCCATTACTTTAAGCAAGAATATGTTGTTCTCTCACGACCTGGTAAGAGTGGTCACCCTCCTCGCATATCAAAGAAGCACGCGGTACTAGCGATGCTACTGCACTTTTACACTGCCAAGAGGCAGTATCTCTTGGACGTGGTCGAGCAAGAGATCAATCGACGCCGCACACCAACTCTTACCGCGCCCTTTGCTTGCTTTCGACATGGGCTCTTTGGAAGTGGAAACACGACGTCCACGAACGTTGGTGGGAACGTGATATCCAAATCGTTGGTTTACCTCTTATTCATTGTGCTTTGCACTTGTTTTGGCGTCGGCTTTACGTGGGTAAAAGAGTGGTACTTCTGCTGTTACGAAGTTGAATAAATATTAATAATTCACTGGGGTTTTATAAATGCCAAATACTGTAACTCTGAGCAATACGAAGTAATAATCACATGTGATACTGAAGTGACCAAAACACCTTGGCTATTACTTCCATCGCGTAGTACACGCTACCAGCATGTACTATGCGATGGAACAAGAAGATGGCGTGGTTTTCTACGATGTGGCACCATACGTACGTCGCTGGGGTAGAACTCCGACGCAAAAGTTGTTTATGATGACCAGTGAATTGTGCAACTTGGTCCCGAGAATAGCAGATATAACTTCGATTTGCACTTTTCAAATGTGTAAAAGCGAGGGAGTTGCATAAATGACCACCCGATCATTACATTCTGTAACGAAACCTGACATCCTAAAACATGGTGCGGATTATCTAAAACACTGGGGTCTATGTAACAAACGCCCAGGATTATGGTGTGAATAGCGAAAACGAGTGTAAAGCACAATAATATTTGTATCAACTATCGAAGTAAGGTGCAACACAAAAACCACGATTTGTTGAGTCCAAAAAACAGCCTCAACAAATTGTGAGAGGTCAAACACATATTTTATTTGATTCTTATTTATGTCGAGGCCAGCACAAATTCATTTGTGTAGGTTTTGGTAGTCTTCCAATATTGAAATATAAGAATACAGGAAGGTAGTACATCGATTTTCTGAACCACATCTAATTCCTTCATTATGTACCAATTAGATAGCTTAAATGGAAGGTCATGCCGTTCAAGTCTGCAATACCGTGTAACGTACTACGAAGTACTACGTAGTATATATTTTGATCTGGACAGTGGCTGGGCAAGTATCCGGATACGGATAATGTCGATTACCATATACATACAATAATCAAGTGTAATAATCCAATTATATAATTTAACAGAGGATTATATAATTTTACAGAGGAGTCCAAATCTATATGGCTGGCTAAACCTACATACTAGTTTATTTTAAAGAGACATTCATGTTTTGCAATAAAAATGTCCTTTGGAAAAAATGGACGCAAATCGGTCCAAAAATGGTTCAGAAAATCGATGCGCTACCTTATTGGTAATAACGTTCGATACGAATTTCCAGACCCCGTCGAATCGAATCACGAATCGACGCTATTGGCTAATCCAGTTTTTGAGTGGGTTTGATTGGCTCTTGCAGAAAGGACAAGTATATTCAACCAATCAGAACTCCAGCGTGATTCAATATTGATCAGACAAACCAGGCGAATTTTGGAAATTTATAGCGAATTCACAATACTGTACTGACATTTTTTAAAATTTTGATGGGTCATGACGCAACGATGGAAGTGCACCAGCGGCGGCGCCTTCTCGCGTTTGGCAATCCTATGGTCGACTTGCTGATGCATGTATCCAGCGAGGTTTGGCTATGGCATGCTGCTATCATCATCGTTACTTGACGACGTGCATGCACTGTAGTTCGTGTCGGCGCACGACCTCACGCACGGCGAAGCCGTACGTGCTGTCACCTCGTTCGCCCCTTGTCATTGACCTACCCGAGTAGGTTCACGCTCATATATCTGCAGAAGGACGGCAGCGATTGCTAGACGAAGTGTTGGCGTCTCCAGGAGTTACCCGCGCGACCGGCGGGTCTGCGCTCAATTCGGCCCGCACCATCCAAGTACATACTTGTCGTCTCTCCAAATCCATATCTTCAGTGACTCATGAAGTGTACAGTGCCTGTTGCCGCCCAAGTCGTCGGTGTTTGTGGGCGCCGTGGGAGATGACGCGAACGGACGATTCGTCCACGATGAGTCTACGAACCAAGGCAACGAACATTCTCATATCTACACGGACTTGAACATCGTCACATGTACTACTTGAACGACGTCGCATGTACTTGTTATTAGGCGTTGACATGCACCTCCACGTCATACCCACCATGGCAACCTCTACGTGCGTGTGCTTGATCACACCCGACAACGAGCGCACGTTGGTCGTGCATCGAGCAGCGCATTCCCACTACGCCCTCAACGATACCTTCCTTGACGTGTTGGCGGCCGTGGATATTGTGTACGTTGTCGCATTTGGCCTGTCATCCGTTCCTCGATTCGACTGTGTCACATACGCAGCGACGACGCTTCGACCCACCCAACTCTTTTGCCTCAACTTGTCCTCCACGAACCTCCTTCAGGTGATGACATATTATATATTTATTCTCTCAAACGAGAGATAACGTTAGATAACGTTCGATATATATAGTGCGCTTTGCACCGAAAACTTGCGATTGTTTGAAATCGCCACCAACTCGAGCAAAATAATATCATTGGCTAAAAAGAATGAAGGTTACATTATGATTGGCTAAAAAGAAAAATGAATGATAAAACGCAGGAACTAGGGTACCTCTTCAACTTTGGTTTATGTAATATTTCCAAGACACGGTGATTGTTGGGCGGTTCATTCAACTACCCGACGAAGGAAATTTCAAATAACTCACACTTTATATATATATAAATCCTGATCAACGCGTTCTTTGTAGAACCAAGCAGTTGTCGAGCGCCTGCATACCCTCCTGTCGTCATGCCACGTCATTCTCGGAAACGCCAGGGAATTCCGAGCATTGGCGTCGGCATTGCATATCCCAGAAGTCGTCTCTCAAATGCCAGCATTTGCCCAGCAGATTGCTACCCATACTTCCATGGCTCCCAATGTCTTGCTGGTTATTACTGACGCCCACAACCCCACTTGGATTGTACAGTCTGCGTTCAGGTACTAAATACATGGTTGAAGCATCGCTTGATTTCTGAAAATGAAAAAACTCCTATCCTAATAATACTATCTATCTCAAGAATGAGAACAAATAAACAATATTAAATGAGAATTGAGTGATTTCTGAAATGTTTGTTTAACGGCGAGTCTGGATGCTACGAAAAATGACATAAAATGGCCGTTTTTTTCCAACAAAAGTTGGAAAAATCGAAATGTTATTCCATTTTTCGAGATTTTTTGCGTCTGGATACCACAAAGTTCAGAACTTTATGCCACAACTTTCATGAGATTTGGGTGTTTTATGGCATAAAAAATGGATCGAAGTATTGTGCTTTCGAGTGAAATTTCGTCTTGTGGCGTGGTTTTTCGTTGGAATTTAAATCGATTTGATTGGCTACCTCAGTTGAGCTCAAAATTATGACCCAATCAAAACCTTCTCAATGAAATTCAACCAATCAGATAGATTGTGGATCGGTTTGGTCGGCGCGATTCGATTGTACCCCCTCCTTAAATTTGTATCAAATTAATAATATTTGGTTCAACAACTTTTTTTATGGAGGTTTGTGTTCACGTGGAAGTCTTGCATGTCAATCGGAAATCGAATACTATTTCTTCCATAATTCAACTGGCATCCAGATAACTTTGGAGATACTTCATTTTCTTCATGGGATATGAGACTTTGGGAAAGTTTTGCAGACTTGCCAAAACGGTTTACGGCATCATTTTATGGGGTGGCATCCACACCAGCCCTATGAGAAACAAACGATATATATAGATTTTCAATAGTCGCGTGATGTCTGAAAATATAAACTCGAATCATATACAAACAACAATAAATAGTTTAAACAAGTGATTTCCGACGATAAAACTCGACTCTTGACGTTTCATATTTTCATAAACCTAGTGCGTCGTTCTCAGTCCAAACCAGTCAAGACATTACAATTCGCGACACCACGGGTGCCGGGGACGCGTTTGTCGGGGGCTTCTTCACGGGCCTGTACGATTTTATGTATATATATATATATATATATAAAATTATATATTTCTGACCAAATCATCGTGATATTTTGGAATAGCATGTCGAATTGTCATGTGAACGAGTGCATCGAGCTGGGACATATCTGTGCGAGGCGATGTGTGCAGAACGTGGGGTGCCAAGTTCGTTTGACAGGCGACGAGATGCACCGGTGCACTGCCATCCTCCAAAGCCAGGCCCACGGAACCAACTCGCTGTTTGCCTCCGTACTAACCAGGAAAAGTCTAGTGTAGTAGTTTAAATATATAAATACTATTGTGCTTTTCACCCAAATTAGCCAATTTTGGAGAATTGTTGAAATCTACTTCGAAATCAAGCAAAACAGTTTGATTGGATAAACATAATATAGCTTGTGATATGATTGGCTATAACGAATACAAGCATACCCCTAAATTTCGATATATATCAATTTTGGCAGATCCAGCAATGATTGCGCCTGGGCTGGACGAAATATGGAGTAGAACACACAATACTATACGTATATACAGTAACAGTCTAACTAAAGTGTTCTTGGTAGATAGTAAATTTAGTAGGGTCTCATGGTTGACGTAAGCGATGGCAGTGTTGTAGTAAGCTGTACAGTGGCTCACGTACAGTACAGTAGATATATTTTGGCAGCATGGATGGCTATTTAGAAATGAATACGTCTCTGTGAAGCAACCTATCGATATCATGTGATAAATAGTACTTCGAAGTACTCGGGAGTACTTTGTAGTAAGAGTTATTCCAACACGAAGGACTTAAATGTACTAACGTTAGTATCTTACTGTTAACATGACTGGTCGAAATACTATGGAGATATTTGGTCATGATGCAAAGCGATCAGCACGAGAGAAAGACAAATGGGTTGTTAATGCCTCTAGACGAGGCTACCGCTTGCGGTGTTTGGTTTCGTTCGAGATGTAAGTTTATGCGGAAGTTACTATTATTAATATTACTTCATGAATAGCACCATGTACTCCCTAGTACTGAATGAATAGTATTACTACCAGTAATAATATATTATACGTGGATTTGATTGGCTATAAATGTTTCTTTTGCGCTATTGGTCAAAACAGGGAAATTAAAGAACTCCCCGATCCAACGACGATGGAATCACCGACAAAGCGGCTCAAGACGGCGCTGTGCCTTGACACACAAGATCCTGCTTTGGAGGAGGCGCTGGAAGTCGACGCACTGAAAGATGTCGTGGTGAGCCCCCTTGCAACTTTGTCTGCCAACGGAGATGGAAGTGACGAGGACGACGAGTCGCTGGACGTCGGCGAGCGACTCTGCCGTTGGCTTGAAGCGAACGGTGCCGAGTTGTCCAAGCTTCGCATTGAAACATATGCGCCAGAAGTGCGCGGCGTTCACGCACGCGATACGTTCGCGGCCAAAGAGCGGGTCATGCGGATTCCTCTGAACTGCCTCATCACGGTCGAGATGGGCAAGGCGACTGAGCTCGGCCAACGGCTGCTCCACCTCGAGTTCGGAGCCCCCAAGCATATCTACCTCATGATGTTCCTTCTCACAGACATGGAGCTTGGGAATGGTTCGTTCTTCAAGTGCTACTACGACTCCCTGCCCTCGTCCCTCTCCAACATGCCGATCTTCTGGACCGCCCACGAACTCGCGTGGCTGCAAGGCTCCCACATCCTCCATCTCATCGAAGACAGAAAGGCGGCCATCGAGCGCGACTACCGTACGATTTGTAACGAAGTGCCTGATTTTGGTTCTCGGTTTACGCTCGATCGGTTTGCGTGGGCCCGGATGATTGTGTGCAGGTAGGTACAGTACATATATATGTAGGTGTACTGTATGTAGGTGTACTGTATGTAGATGTATGAGTATTCCAGTTGTTTATATGACTCTTTTGTGTGATGGTTTGAAATATGCTGCACTACTCGAGACATTTCATGCGAGTTTGCACACTATATTGTCCGTGTCCCCACCATTCAATTTGGAACGTTTTTCGCCAAATCCATCGATCGATTGATGTTTTCTTTACGTTTTTAGTTGTTCCGAAGCACCTAAAAAGGCATATTTGGAATTACTAGACCAACCTACAATTATAATATATAAAGTAGCTGGATATCTTGACCAAACTAAACATAATTTAATGTATGATAAAGAAGACACAAAAAGAACAGAAATATTGTGCTTTCGAGTGAAATTTAGTGTTGTGGTGTGGTTTCTCGTTGGAATTTAAATCGATTTGATTGGCTACCTCAGATGAGCTCAAAATTATTAGCCAATCAAAACCTTCTCAATGAAATTCAACCAATCAGATAGATTGTGGATCGGTTTGGTTGGCGCGATTCGATTGCACCCCGTCCCCAAATTTGTATCAAATCGACAATAATTTGTCTGAATGTTGTATCTATAAAACGATGTCCGGTGGGGATATACTCACACTAATTACGGTATCACACATTAATTCGAGGCTGGTGATGGTTTCCTGCAATCTCATTGGCTCGATTCGTTATTCAGTCGATTCTTCTGTCATACATTTGGTGGGGTCGATGCATTCTCCAATTTATAATTTGTGTTTGGGTGCGTCTGGATGTCAAAAAAGATCAAAATCTTCAATATTTTGGCAATTTCTAAAAAATCGGCAAAAAATAAAAACTTCTCGGTCTGGATCCAACATTAGGAGAATTCAATATTTTATATGAATTTCAAATATCCGTGATAGTATCCTGTGTCACCCAACAAATTAATATTAGGTCATATCCTAATTCGTAGAGATGAGAGTAAATTAGGATAATGCTAGGTCACTGCATACAGGCCTCGTTGCTCTGAATAGTGGTGTGTGTGTGTGACTGGACATGTTTCAACGTTTTATTCGAGTTTTATATATGTCAGAATCTAATATTTATCAAGAAATTCCCAATATAATCAGATCAAAAGGCTCCATTGTGAAACTGTACAGGAAATATCACATAGAATATCCTTCTCTATTATCCCGATATATTCTCGTAGCCGCAATTTCGGGATCACCATTGACGGCATCAAGACAGCAGCTCTGGTGCCATACGCAGACATGCTCAACCACTTTCGTCCCCGCGAAACGTGGTACGTCGTGCTTGCTTGGGAGCGTGCCACGTCATATCAGCGAAAACGGCTTCTTATTGGTTCGTAAATAATAGCTAAATAATAGCTGGACATACGATGCGTCGGCCATGGGGTTTACGATCACGGCGTTGCATTCAATTCCAGCAGGTGCCCAAGTGTATGACTCGTATGGGAAGAAATGCAACCACAGGTTTGTCCATATATATATATATATATCTTTGAAATATCGCCTTTTCAATTTATATATTGTATATTTATATCGATTCGCATGTGTGGATGTGGATTTCCACGGTCGAAGTACCGATTCATCTATATATATATATACAACTCTTTGAAATATCTCCTTTTCAATATATACAGTATATATATATATATCTTTTCATATGTATATATTGTGTACTCGATCGAAATTTCAATCTTCCATTGTCCGTTGTGGATGCATTCATATGTATATATGTATGTATACATATATATCCTGTCGTTTTAATTGGCGGAGTTGCCAAGTTTGAATCTATATTCCTCATAAATATTGATATATATATATATATATATATAGGTTTCTGTTGAATTACGGGTTTGCCGTCAAGGACAACGTCGAAGCTGACGGCCGCAACCCGAACGAAGTGTGGATTCCCCTGTCGTTTCTTCCCAACGAGTCGCCCCTGCTAACGTCCGCCAAACGCCAGTACGAACTCCTTGATCAATATTATCCAAACGTATATATATATTATATATATATATACATTCATATACAATATGCCCTAGATACTTGCACGATAGTGGTGTGCACTCGATGGACTGTCGCTTCAGCACGTGTCATTCCGACGTCAATACCCGCGAAGGGCTCAGTTTTCTGCGGCTGATCGTGTCCTCCGACGCCGAATTTGAACGGATGGCGGCGACGGCGCCGGCGCACGCGGTGCCGCCTCTGTCCCTGGACAACGAGCGGCGGGCTCTGCAGCATCTGGGGGCCCTGGCGACGGTTCAGGTATTATTGGGCGATGAGCCAACATGTATTTGCGAAATAATATGGAGATAAAATTGCCAAATAACATGGAGATATATGTGTGGCAACTCCTTTATCGATTTGTTATATTAGTATGTAAAAGCGTGGTGAAGTCGCCCCGAAGTGGAGATTTTTTGCACGATGTGTTCGTTTTGATTGGCTACTTGATTTGTGTGGTGGGTTTCACCGTTTAGATGCGTAAAAAACAAAGTTTGCCCAGTGTCCACGTGATGTAAAACCAACCAATGTATATGATTATATGATTTTGATTGGACGTAGCTGTACCAGTATGCGACGACGTTGGCCGACGACACCGCCATGCTCGAGTCTGGTGCAATTGATCCGTTTTCAAATCGAGCTCAAGCTCTGTACTTTGTCCGAGGTGAAAAGCAAGTGTGCGCACATTTCCAGCAACTTGCTCATGAAGCGCAGCGGGTGCTATCGCTGCCGCCGCATGAGGCCGCGTCCGTCTGCCGAGACATGTACGAAGACGCTGATGACGTGATGAGTTGCTACCTGGCCGATGTGATTGGGTACCTGGTGCCAGCATCACACAACAAGCAAGACGACGAACTAGTAGGAGTGCATGCTGCTAGTACTACTACCGCCAACGATGTATAGATGATGATGATGATGGACATCGGTGAAATCTAACTAGACCCGCTGAGTTCGGTGGTGTGGTGTTATTGCGAATACTACTCCAGAGTACAAATAACTACTAGTAGTACGTCGTCACAGTAGTAGTTGCGACAAGGGTTGCACGAGTAATCTCGTGCTATTATTAATTATTACTAGTAGTACTCAAGTAGTAGACTTTGAAAATGTCATTGAAATCGGATCAAAACCGGTACAGGTACAGTGGAAACTATTCAGGCATGCGCATTGATTGGTCTAAATCCATCACAGGACTTTTGTTTCATTGGATGAAATATATTAACGCGTGATGATTGGCTATTTCTGTCCAATTGGAGATAACTGGGTACATGCTGAAGCGGGGGATATACGGGGCACACGACACAATTCTTCGGGCAGACGGGCAATTGCTTGGGCATACGACCAAATATATCGGCCACACGACCAAATATATCGGGCACACGACCAAATATATCGGGCATTCGTCCAACTTAACTGCAAAAAGGTGTAGTAGAGTCGTAGTATTGTGGCTATTCGATATGAATTTCCAGACCCCGTCGAATTGAATCTCGCCGCCGATTCGAATCACGAATCGACGCTATTGGCTAATCCAAATTTTGAGTGGATTTCATTGGCATTTGCAGAAAGGACAAGTATATTCAACCAATCAGAACTCCAGCGTGATTCAATATCGACAAACCAGGCGAATTTTGGAAATTTATAGCGAATTCACAATATGGTTATTTTTTGTACAACCGGATATCCGGATAATCCCGCCCTTGGTTTCGGATTTTGGATCCAAGATTTCATATGAGCACCAGTGGCGGCGTGCGGACGCGGCCTAGCTCGTACCAACGTCTGCCGCAGACTGAGGACAGTGACGTCGCAGATGCCGCCGTGGACTCGAACGCAGAGACGGAGATCGCGGAGCTCAAGAAGCGGGCGCAAGGCAAGCCGCCGAGCCGCGCCGAAGTGGTCAGCACCAAAATCCACGCGTTGATGTGGATCGTTGGAGCGGGGTTTCTGTTGTATTACTTGGACGTGTTACGTGTGGCCTTTCGCGACGCTCGTGTGCATCGGTATCGTTGTGTAGAGAGCCTTTAACGACTTTCACGTCTTGGCTTGTTGTTGTAGGGTGTACTTCAACATTGGACTGGTGTGCTTTGGGATCAATGCATGCATCACACTGTACTTGTCCATATGGCTCCCCTACGTCAAGAAGATCGACTTGGAATGGAGTGTGTATTGCCCCCGTATGGTTCCCACCGCCACCGTCGTCGGCATCGTGTGCGCGCTCATGTAAGGTCATCCCGTGTAACTCCACTCATGGGTTTCTCTGGGGGCAGGTTTACGGTGGGGTTGTGGCCAGTGTGGGGCTTCTTCACGCCTGGCATCTTGTTTGTGCTGTTCCTGGGGACACTGATGACAGCTCACTTCTTGCCCGCCATCTAAACTCCACGACACTACCACTACCACGCTATCGAAATGTTAATACAAGGAACACTACTACTACATCATTACGCCTAAATACAGTAAAATATCAACACTATTCAAGTCACGTACTACACCTTTTTGCGGTGAATTTCAACTTTTTGCTTATTTTTACTTACAAGGAACGACGAACATTCTATTTTGTGTGAAAATATTGGTACGTTTTGCCAGACACGTCATTCGGCTTTGTTTTCACAACAATTCGAAATGGCAACATCGTCGTAACTACAAGTCCAAGCTTACTCGGACAAACGAGCCGACAGCGGGTTCAAAAACGAGGCTTGGCGAGCCGTTTCTAATGCGTTCAACCTCGAGTATGGCGTCAATACTGTACTTGCCGGTAACTACAACTGAAGTCTCGTTTGGACTGCGTAATGATCCTACCACAGCACCAATATATATAATTATATAATTTATGCATTCGGGAGAGTGTATGTAGTTCACGCGAGATTACGAGGATGTCAAAGAATCCGAAACATCTATTACACCTTTTTTCTATTGACTTGGGACTTTTTTCAACGTTCTTGGCTTGGCGTTTATTCGAAAGGGCGATGTGTTCATACATTTGGCCTTGTGGCCAATACTGTAGAATTGACACGTCGTGCCGCAACACCCTTCGAAATGTACCATGCTACCAATGGAAAAGGCTCCACTACCCAACAATGTGCCAAGTAGCATTTCGAATCTGCCGTGCTTGAGTTGAATCTATTTTAATAGTAATGGTTCTGGCACTATCGAATGTTTTGGGGTACTATTTTAATAGTCACCCAAAATAAAGTACTATTAAAATAGTACTTTATTACTTCAGTCAACATAGTACTTTCTTTCTGAGAAAAAAGTATTGCCAGGCGCACGCACTCTTAACATTTTTATGCAACATATAATTAAAACAGATTCAAATTCAATTCTCCGGAGTATCGTAACACTACTGTATTCTGTGACAGCTTGTATTACGTAGTACTCCGGTGCACTACTGTAGTATAAAGTACTTGAAGTACGTAGTACTACGTAGTATCAATTGAACTCCGGAGTATGCACAACTTTCGATTTACGCACTACTGCTTGTTGGTGTGGGGCCATGGACTCCTTGAACTTCATCGTAATATTTTATACTCTTTATATTAATAACCTGTAACAAATACACGTCAGCACCCAAATGCTTGATGTTTGCTCTATCTTACATTTGAATGCCCCTACAGAGAACCGAGTAGGAACTGACCCAGCGTGGTACCGGCAATACTTAATTAAATATGAAGCGACCACAAATGAAAGTATTATCACATACAAATATTTTTGTGCTGTATGATTGGACAATTCAAATTCTTATAATTGAATCTGATTGGATAATTCAAATCTGCAGGTGACACGCATGACGGCACGCCATTTCTCGAATGACCAAAACGTGTCGCTCGGCGCCATCAGCGCCGATACAAAGTGCGTCAAATCCGAGTGTTTCTAGTATATGTAAAACAGGTTGAAGTCGCACTGTCAATTTGAAGTTTGGGGTGAGGATTCACTTCAAATTGACCTTGAATATAGTAAACGTATACTATAGTCAAGGTTATTCTTACAGTATGTATGCTTGACCTAACTGTAAATCTCGATTACGGCGGAGGGGGAATACAGTAACTCCCTCATTAACAATATAAAACAGTACCACTGTTATATTGATCCGAAATACTGTTTCAATGAGGGAATTATATCATCCGGACGTAGCCCTGTAACCTGGGACCTCGTGAGTACATACGATGCTTAACCCCTAGAAAGAGGTGAGGTGGACCGAGAAAACAAAGCTCCGTAAAAATTCAAATTGCAGTGATTTCTGAGAAAAACAACAGTGGAACTGTTGTGACTTGTACCCAAGCGGGTTTAGACAACACATATAAGACAGACACGACAAAATTCGGCCCCGTGATTGGATGACCGACAAACAATTGAACTCTGATTGGTCAGTATGTTTTGCAACAATCCGATTGGACGAGGCGCTTGTCGTACAGTAGCAGCAACATATCGCTAACATTTAACATAACGTTATGAGGCTTTCTATTGGTTGAAATACTGTCAAGCCGACATTGCACTGGAAACGGTGTCGATCAGCATAAATAAAACGTCAAGTCGAACCAGAAGGGGTACTGTTGTGGTCGGTGGCAGTCAGCGGGCTCCCCACCCACCATGATGCATGGGTACCATTTGTGGGGTCCCTTATGCAGCCCATTCCACAAAATATCGTTTGCGACTTTTAAATCGTTACACCATTTTGCGGTTAATCTCGAAAAATATCTGGTAACGTCATACTTCGTGGAATCCCAAGTAGATTCGTGGAGCTTCATTATACTTCGCACCTCGGCATTTAATTTCTTGGGAGTGTCAACTTCACTCATTATGCTTCGTGGATTATCAGGGAGATGCAGGAAATGAACGAAAACTCGCATTCATCTCGCATGTCGACTAAGTCTGTCCTTTATGCAATATGCTAACGTTACTTCAAAATGATCACTTCATACATGAGAACACGAGGGTGTTGGGATGGAAGTACAGCGGTGGTGTATATCGGTTTGCCAGATCTCTGAAACCTTACCTTGTATTGGAACGATATTGTACCCGAATGTTGACTTAATGGAATTCGCAAGGTGAGCCACCTTGCTCCTTTTTAATATCCAATCAGAGTCCATCACACCTTGTTTCTTACACACGATTGGCTTCAAAACTGACAGAAGAGGTTACAATTTTGAACTTTGAATTTTGTACAGCTTTGTGTGATGCTGCTCCAGAGAATTGTGCACTGATGAGTGCACTCGGACTACCGTACGTTTGGGCGAAAAGGCTCCCGAATTTTCGTAACTTCATCAATATTACTCCAATTTTGATGAAATTTTGGGAAGTACTTCATATTAGTATGAAACAGATTAGCTCCAAATTTCAAGTCTATCTGACTTGTGGTTTGTATTGAAATGCCGCTGAGATTTCCTATTGCTTTGATTGCAACTTTGAATTAAAATCGTCAAAATACTATTCTCAAGCACAATAAAAATACTCCGAGTGCAGTGAACGACATGCCCGTTGGGCCTTACTTGTACTACCGAAGTTTCTGCAAATATACCCAATCATAATTGAGAACATTTGGGCCAAACTAAGGATTGGTCTAAATAAGCCAATCATATCGGTATACATGGCCATATTCGAAGTACCACTGTAGTCCAACTTGCCATTTCCAGATCAAGTTATCATTGCATTCTGTAAAAAAATACAGTCGAAATTCGTTTTTGGTTACTTGGTGTTGAAGAGGTGAAAATCATAAAATATCTGCTCCTGACAAAATGAAGGAAGCTACTCCTCATGCAATACTCCACGTATTCGAATGCGATTAAGCCCACAGCGTGCAGCAGACTCTGGTGGATGCTGTGGGCTATTCCGTTTGAGATAATACTGAGATTTGGCGCAGGAGTAGCATCCTTCATTTCTTGGGAGCCGTTTCGCCCAAACATACGGTATATCCAATGTGGTACTCCCCTTACAGCTAACATTATGTTATGCGCTCGGGGTGGGCCGCAATGTCGTGGTGACTCTGGTGGGCCAACGCGGTGGCGCAAGAGGTCTTGGTAGCACCCATCGCAAAGTGCTAAAGCCGCCACTTTAGCACTTGCGAAGTGTGCCACCAAGACGTCTTGCACCACCGCCCGCGCAACCATGTGATCACACCGACAGGGAGATGTACGGTACCGACACGGGCTGGATGGTGGAATGAGGGATGAACAATTTCATTGGGTTAGTAGGCAAGTGGTGAAATGCGACCTGTTAGAATTGACTGAGTCCTGAATACCACATTACATGATCTTGCTCTCATACACAGCCTACAATTATCTCAAGGCTCCTTGTATCAACCGCCATCACAGGAATATATCGCAACAGGGCGTGATGAATCTACGCAGCGAATTTCGTGATTTCACGGTATCTGATTGGACAAAATTGGACAATTCGCAAGGTCTGCCTTGCGAATTCCAAAAACAGACAGACACATGAAAAATAAAAATAAACAATATAAACTTGAAGATATAATTAATTGAAACTATACAATTTCAGAATTATTTATGGAATTCGCGAGGTGGTCCACCTTGCGCTTCATACAAAATTGCCTATTTCACCTTGCACCTTGCTTTTTCTGGTTAATGTACAGTATATATATATTAACTTTTTATATAGAACTTTGTATTGAATTGTTTTAAATGGTTTTGAACCGTTACATGTGGAAATTGATGCTGCGCTCGCACTTGTGCACATGTGCGGAAAGTCCAAGCGCAGGCGGTCGATTTCTCGGTAGAGACGCATGGAGGTGAGCTGAAACTGTGAGATCATGTACGCCGCATGTGTACGAAGGTAGTGCATGCAAGCATTCTTACCTACAGTACGTGAAGTACAGAGGACGAAAACGACGACGGTGGAGGACGAATTTGTAGTTTTTCGCGTACATGCCTGCACATGCGCATGAGATGCCGCTATCTATAGTTAGCTGCCACAGTGCAGGTTGTGATGTGCACATGTGCCGTGTAATAGTCTACAAGTTGGTACGCGTCCAATCCTCGTCGTCATTCCTAGCCTATGTATTCACCCACCAAAGTTCCGCATTTTGCTCATGAACGCATGCATTAAGTGTCGAATTCTTCTCGCACAATGCGCGGGGGATAAAACTATTTTTCTGATATAGGACGGGTAGCGAACGGAAGGAAATATTCTATAAATATGAGGGTAAGTGTATGAATCAGGAATTAAATTTTACATCCTATCCGACAGGTGGTCTACAAGTAGCGCAGAATCAGCAGTTTGTCAAATGAGCGAATTGGTAAAGGGAGGAAAGGAGTCAGCAATTCTGTGATAAACCAAGACACTTGGTTGTTGTATTGAAATGGACGAGGCATCCGCCAATGAAATCTAAGAGACTTTTACTTCTAACCAATCAGGTAGTTGTCGGATATATTTATCGCGTCAGCCACTTTGTATGTACAAGTAGATGAAAACAGGTTGAACTTCAATATCGTACTACAGTATCACTGCACCATCCTGTGACACCTTGT